CGTTGCTGCTCACCGTGACTACGAGCTGCACTCTCTCGACTTCAGCACAGCTTTCTTTCAGGGCAGCTTGCACGAGGAGATCTGGCTGCGTCGCCCACCTGGCTTCACTGGGTCTTTCCCTCCTGGTACCCAGTGGAGTCTCCGGCGTCCAGTCTACGGTCTCCGCCAGGCGCCATGTGAGTGGCACGACACACTGAGGACTACGCTGGCGGCACTTGGGTTTGCTCCTTCTACTGCCGACCCGTCGCTGTTTCTGCGCACCGACACCTCTCTGCCGCCGTTCTACATCCTCGTGTACGTCGACGACTTGGTCTTTGCCACAGCTGACACTGCTGGACTCGCCTACGTGAAGTCCGAGCTGCAGAAGAGACACACGTGCACTGACCTGGGTGAACTGCGCAGCTACCTTGGCTTGCAGATCACCCGGGACAGAGCACGCCGCACCATTACCCTGACTCAGTCACACATGGTGCAGTAGGTCCTTCAGCGCTTCGGCTTCACGTACTCCTCGCCTCAGGCCACTCCTCTGCCTACTCGCCACTCGCTCTCAGCTCTGCCTTCGGATGAGTCCGTAGAGTCGAGTGGCCCATATGCAGATCTTGTTGGCTGCCTCATGTACCTGATGACCTGCACACGACCTGACCTTGCATACCCTCTTAGCATTCTCGCACGCTATGTTGCTCCTGGGAGACACCGACCAGAGCACATGGCTGCAGCGAAGAGGGTGTTGCGCTACTTGTGCAGTACGTCGGGCATGGGGCTAGTGCTTGGAGGGCGCAGTCCAGTGGTCCTCACTGTGCACGCGGACGCTTCTTTGGCTGACGACCACGCTACGCAGCGGTCGTCACAGGGTTACACCTTCAGCCTTGGTTCCGGCTCTGTTTCGTGGTGGGCTACCCGCTCGTCTTCTGTTCTCGGCTCCAGTTGTGAGGCTGAGATCTACGCCGGGGCTATGGCTGCACAGGAGTTACGCTGGCTCACCTACCTGCTGACCGACCTTGGAGAGCCGCCTCGTTCTCCTCCAGTCCTGTACGTAGACAACAAGGCCATGCTGGCCTTGTGTCGAGAGCAGCGACTGGAGCACAGGACAAAGCACATTGCTCTCCGCTACTTTCTTGCTCGTGAGCTACAGCAGCGTGGACAGTTGCGACTTGCGTACGTGGCCTCTGAGGCCAACACTGCTGATGTCTTCACCAAGGCACTTGCGCCTTGTGATCATCAGCGTTGTTGCACGCAGCTGGGTCTTGTGCCTGTCTTGCCTCACTTGCTCACTTCTTGACTTTGCTTGTACCTTCACCTATATATACTCTTGCGCTTGCTTGCTTGACTCTTGTATATCTTTATATATGATCTTGCATGTGAACTGGTCTTGTGGCCCTTGAACTTGTGCTCGGAATGTGTGGTGACTTTGTAATCCACCCTAAGCTTTGCTTTGCTTTGCTTGACTGGTCTTGTGACCCCTTGTTCTCCCCCACTTTGCCTATGGGGGTGTGTCAGAACATTATAGCTTACTTATTTGTGTAGGCTATAGTGGGGTATCCCATAGGGGTACAACCCAATTAGGGTTTCCTATTTGTACTCACTTCGTTCATAGTCATTTCATTCACGTTCCTTTCTTCACACATCCACACAAGTTTAAGCAATATGGAAGTGCATGCGAACACATGCGAACACATGCGGATGCATGCGATGCATGACTAAACGTAAAAGCACCAAGATGCAAACACAGGAATGTCCATGCACAGTTTATTCCCCATAATTGTCAGCGGATATCATTACCACAACCAACAATCACCCATTCCAGCCAACAATGCTTAAAATTCCAAAGCATCACCTATTTTCGTTACTAACACACGGCACGCACTGCTGTTTGGCGAACTTTCTCTTGAGCGATGCCACGTCACCAATCCTAATATGAGCACTGAAGGCCTCGAGCCAACCAGAGACGTCTACCTGGCACGGATACAACGCATTAGGGCACGTATAACTATGTAGCTACCCAGGAATGACCTGTTCTGCATTTAGTCATCAAGGGATGAGTCGCGTTCAAGAATGCTACGAATTCGCTACTATGGGTCATAGAATAGCAAAGACGACATCAATCCCGTCAAATACTCGTTACAGCCAGCCCCCAGCAAGGACCCCGGTTCAAGAACACTGAGAACACAAGATGGGATGTCTGAGAAAAGGCACGACGCTTATGTAAAGGACGAGTGGTCTTGCCTGATTCCACCACACATCGCTGGCAGCACCTTCTAAATTCTGGAAACTTTCAAAAGGCCTGTACGCTGGAAGGATGGAGGCAATCACTTGGAGCCGCAGCAGCGAATCAACGCCTCACTTGCCTCGGCGTTGGAAACCGCGTTGAGCCATTTGTCAAAATATTATCTTATTGATCTAGCCTGTAGTGGGGTGCTCTATAGCGAGTACAACCCTTCTAGGGTTTGCTATTTGTATCCCCATTTCTGCTAGTTCAACCCTTTTCTTTCTTCTAATTTTGTCATGCTATCAGAGCAGGTCGATCCCCTTGGATCGAACCTGTGGGTGGGTTACCACCTCGCTTCCGCTGCTACCTTTCCTTCCCGCCGTGCGCCCCGAGGCGCGCGGCGGTTTTCCTTCCCGCCGTGCGCCCCGAGGCGCGCGTCGGTTTTCTGCCCGCCGTGCGCCCCGTGGCGCGTTTGGTTCTCTGCCCGCTGTGCGCCCCGAGGCGCGCGGCGGGCGTCTGCCCTACCTTCGCGGGCGTCTGCCCTACGTCGCGGCCCCGCCCCGACCGTCGCGGCCCCGCCCTCGTCGCGGCTCCGCCCTGCGTCACGGCCCCGCCCCTCGACGCGGCCCTGCCCTACGTTGCGGCCCCGCCCCGACCGTCGCGGCCCCGCCCTACGTCGCGGCCCCGCCCTGTGTCGCGGCCCCGCCCCTCGAAGCGGCCCTGCCCGACCGTCGCGGCCCCGCCCTCGCCGCAAGCGGCCCCCTCAGGTCGCCTCGACGGACGACGGGAGGGGCGAGCTGTGGGGTGGCGGGTATGGGGGTGGCCGGTGTACTTTCCTCCCTTTGCTCCTCCTCCTCCTTCGTCTCCCACTGCTGCAGCTGTCGCTGAGGGGGGTGGTTGTGTGGGAGACTCGGGTTTAGGGTTTAAGGGGGGTGCGTGGGAGTGCAGCTAGCGGTGTAGCAGTGGGTGTGCATCAGGGGGGTGGGACTGTGTGCGGGAGGTTGAGTGGAGGTTGTCAGTTTGTCGTTCGCAGCACCTGTAGTCCGGGGCGCTGTCCCGATAGCCCAGTCGTAGCCAGCCGTGCCAGCCGCCCGTGGGTCCGTTGCCCGTCTGCCGCTACTTGAGCCGCGGGGCCAGTTACTCCAGTAGTCCGGAGCGCTGTTCCGGTAGCCGCTGTGCCAGTGTGCCTCCTGTTGCCCGTGTGCCTGCAGCTTCAGCCGTCGCCTCCTATCTCCTCTCCCCTCACTCTCTCTCCTCCTCCTCACTTGCCCGTTGTGACTACCACTAGCTCTGCTCATAATTGTGAACTCTAAACTATCTCTTCTTGAACTTGTGCTAAGAATGTGTGGTGACATTGTGATCCACCCTGAGCTTGTACTGCTTTGCCTGCTGTGCTGATTACACCCCACTTTGGCTATGGGGGTGTGTCAAAATATTATCTTATTGTTCTAGCCTGTAGTGGGGTGCTCTATAGCGAGTACAACCCTTCTAGGGTTTGCTATTTGTATCCCCATTTCTGCTAGTTCAACCCTTTTCTTTCTTCTAATTTTGTCACCATTGCAATCCCACATCGAGCTGCACTGCTCTCCCTTGCTCAGACTGTTGCAGTTCAATCATTGCGACGAACGGTTTTGAGACCTCTCAAACGCGGACGAACGTTGAATTGGTAGGCGCGTCACGACTCACGACGAGAGGAGGCGTCGGTCGCGCCCGCGTTCTGTGATCCTAGTGACTAATGCAGCTGAGTAGTTCAGCAGCCTCGTGAATTTGTTTCCTGATGAAAGACCTGTCGATTGAACCGTACTAAAACCCTTTAGAAGCAAATGTCACCACAATCGAGTAAAGGGTACGCTTTTGAAGCACACTTTGATCAAGTTCAGAGTAATTTTGAGACAGTGATGCTCAGGGCCTGTGCTAGGTTTTGGGGCATCCTGAGGCCTCAGGGCAACTTTCCAGAATCTGAAAAAATGCCCTGATTTGTCAGGGCAACTTTTCGGAGGCTTCCTGTAATTTCAGGGCTTCTACAAAAAAAATATCCTGGCCTGTCAGGGCAAAAATATAAGCGTTCAGGGTTCATAATAGTTGGTCGGCAAGTCAGGTTGAAGCTACAGATATACCTGCACGGGGGGTTCAATCCGAAGACCTCATCTCTCGGAAGTAACTTTCTACTGCCTAGGCCATTTCTGGATGTTTAGATGGTTGATTCAGCGCTTACCGACAATTTTGCCTCAACACGCGTCAGGGCAGGCCTCGGCATTCATCCTGACGCTACAGGGAAGAACACTACAGCCATTCTGAATGTTCAGGGTATTTCATATAAAAACATCCTGAGGTCTCAGGGTTAAAATTTACACTATTCTGAAATGACAGGGTAAATTTAAAACTACATCCTGAATTCAGGGTAATCAGGATGTTTTGCCCTGATAACGTGGGGCCTGGTGATGCTGATAACTGAATCTGACTACCACATAAAAACAAAAACATTTTGTTCGAAAAGAAACCTGCTCTGGCACTTCACTTCATTCCACAGTCCAGATTCCCTAACCTTCTAAATTCATCGAGTGCTCTGTTAGCCTACAACGTTCATATACAATGTCAATCCTTGCCCACTTCACATAATGGACCCACCCTGGAAATTGCGCGCGCAACACGACTGCCAACCTATCGCCCGCTTGAAGCGACTGCACAAACGGAGATTCAGCACTCCACGTTTTGGAATGCTGTTGCCAACGTCTAACAGCATGAAGGTTGCGGTAGATTTCCTCTCTGGAAGCGGAGAGCGATCCATTAGGCATCATTCTTGCGAGCTCAGCGAATGTCCACGAGTTGTTGTAGGTGTTTTGGTCTTGGGGATAACTGCTCCATCTGACATTCCGAAAACAAGGAAGGGAGGGGGTGGGTGGGTGGGGAGGGAAGGGGTGGGGATGAGGAGGGGGAAGGGGGGGGAAGGGAGGAGGGGGAAGGGGGGGGAAGGGGGGGGGGAAGGGAGGAGGGGGAAGGGGGGGGGGGGAAGGGGAGGGGTGGCAAAATACTGAACACATAGTCGTGGGTTGGAATCTAAAATAGGACTATACAAGAAGAGTGCATGTAGTGCAGAGTTCGGTTAGAGGACCCCTTACTCAGACAGCAACTTCAAGGGAAAACCTTTTGAAACATCAGTGAAAACAAACACAACGGAGTGGCATTTTAAAACCACAAGACAATACTTGAAAAAAAAAAAAAAAAAAAAAAACAAACAAACGAAAAAAAAAAAATCACAAACGTTGATGTGGACGGGCAAGACATGACTTACCCTTGGTCATGAGCTTCGGCTTCAACTTTAATCTCCTTAATCCGACCCTTTCCAAAATCCACAGGCTGCGAAATCACATAAGTCTCCTCCCAATCCCCGCCACTCATCCTTTCACTACTATAAGATGTATCCTTAACATTATAGTAGCCAGCGTACTCAATGATAGCCTCAATAATGTCGTCAGGAAGGGGAGGAAGTGTGCCTTCGAAACCCGTTCGGAACTCCGACACAACTTCGCGAGATTGAGAGACGGACGGGGCGAAGGAAGGGACGAGCCGCATGGAACGTGTATCTGCGTCGGACATAAGATGACGCGCTTCCGAAGAAAAGGAACGAGGAGATTCGGAGCCAGAATCAGATCCCGAAAAGGAATGGTGGGGAGATTCAGCGGAGGAAATGGAGTGGCGCGGGAAATCTGCCCTAATAAATGTGCGACGCCACATCCCACGCCCAAATCTGAGCTTTCCCCATCGCGGACGGACCATTGCACTAGCAATGACTAAAATTAATGCCCTAGCACGGTGGTTAGGAGGGCAAGTAAGCAGTGCTGAACCTTAGCTGAAAGATTGGTGAACAATGTCCCACTTCCTCATGATATATCTCAACGATAGTCCCCATTGTCAGTTCGCGAGTTTGGAGCGCATTACCTCCAAACTCGAAATCGTCGAACGTTCATAGATGAAGGCGGACCTCAAGAAAGGCGGACCAAACGCGTCCTAGGAGGGTGATGAGAACGTGTGTGATGTGAAGGCGTGTCCCACAAGGTTCGTCTGAATGCGGTTCAATGAGTCGTACAATGGTCGATAAAATACATAGAGTGGTTGAGTCGGATGTTGAGCACATGAAGAAATGTCGGACCCGAAACAGGCTTGACTTGTGTGACTTGCAATTCTCCTGCCACTCTGCTGCAGTCCCTTCTGGCTTTCACGTAAGCGCGACGTCAGGTTATACACTTCACACGCGCTTACAGTTCCTGTATCGTGGTTCAGGACGGTCTAACACGGTGAAAAGCGGTTCTCGACAATTACCGCTCTTCACCGTGTTGAAACGAAGTTTGACGAAGAGGGCGTACAAAAAGCTGTACAACCTGACGTCGCCCTAAGGGGCGCGTCACACGCATTCGTCAGGTTGAGAAAGCTGTAAAACGGCGCGGTTCACTTATAATTAAAAAGGTTGAGTAGGGTACGAGAAAATGCGATCTTCTGTTGACTACAAAATTTGTATCGTAGGAGGCCTCGGTCGAGTGCTTCTGAGCACGTTTGAGTACGATTCTGTCTGTAACCTAACGAATCTTGTTACACGCCTTGATTGTTCCCTGTACGTTCTGTGAACTGAAAAGAGCGCCTAGGAAAACAACCGCGGCGATCATTTTGAGCAGCTACGAGTTTCCTAGCGCCATTGGGCTGTTTCAGTCATCTCTCATATGAGGATCCCGTGCCGCCATGGCGGGTTCAGCGCGGTCCTGTCAGCGCCTTTCGCGTGTGTTCCACGGAAACGTACGATCCCTTTCTCAAAAAGTTATACAGCCAGGCCAATTCCGCCAGGTTACCAGCGATTTCGTTTCTCCACCTGACGCGCCTCGAGAACGTCAACCTCCATTCACCGATTGCGTTATATTAGCTGAGACGTCCCAAGCAAATCGCCGTCTTTCTAGCGACTTGGACTTCCTTACTCCAGCCGACGCGGCGCGGGTGTTCGTTCCGCCGCTTCAACCGCGCTGCGCCGCTGCCGCGAGCGGAGGCTCCGCGGGGCTTCTGTGGTGCGGAACGCGGAGCGGCGCAAGGGAAGCAGGCGCGGCAGGATTCCGCAGATGGGCGGAGCAGCGCCGAGTGGGGGGCGTTTGGGCGGAACCCAGGGGGGTGGGTGCCGTGTTGGCGGAACCGCGCAGATATCTGCACCATATTACGGTTGAAGAGGAGAAGGTGGGGGAGGAAGAGGGGGGAGAAGAAGGGGAAGAGTATTGGGGGGAAGGTGTGAAGGTTGGGGGGAAGGTTTGGGCGGTACCCAGGGAGGTGGGGGTCACATGGGCGGATCCGCGCAGAGATCTGCATCATATTGCGATGGAAGAGGAGAAGGTGGGGGGAGGAGGAGGGGGAGCGGGAGGGGGGAAGGAGGGGAGGGGGGTGGGGGGATGGGGATGGGTGAGGGTATGGGGGGAAGGTGTGAATGGGGGGGAATGGGAGGACGGGTAAAGGTTGGAGATGAGGGGAAATGGGGGGGGCAGGAGGGGGGGGGGGAAGGGGGGAGTACTCTCATTGTCTCATCACAAGTATGAGATCAGCTCGTAAGGGAGACAATGAGATATCGAGCACACAAGTGGCGGGTGAGAGCAGCAGAGGAAGGGGAACCTCGCATCACCACTCTCCCTCCCTTCCCCTCCCCACCCGCCATCATCCCTTTCCAACCCCCCCTTCCCTCATGCAGCCCGAGCACAAGTATTGGGGGAGGACGGCAGTAGAACAGGGCTTCTGTGTTCCCACCATACCCCATTCCCCCGTCCCCCCACCATCATCCCCTCCCCACTTCCCTCATGCAGCCCGAGCACAAGTATTGGGGGAGGGCGGCAGAAGAACAGGGCTTCTGTGTTCCCACCATACCCCATTCCCCCTTCCCCCCACCATCATCCCCTCCCCACTTCCCTCATGCAGCCCGAGCACAAGTATTGGGGGAGGGCGGCAGTAGAACAGGGCTTCTGTGTTCCCACCATACCCCATTCCCTCTTCCCCCCACCATCATCCCCTCCCCACTTCCCTCATGCAGCCCGAGCACAAGTATTGGGGGAGGGCGGCAGTAGAACAGGGCTTCTGTGTTCCCACCATACCCCATTCCCCCTTCCCCCCACCATCATCCCCTCCCCACTTCCCTCATGCAGCCCGAGCACAAGTATTGGGGGAGGGCAGCAGTAGAACAGGGCTTCTGTGTTCCCACCATACCCCATTCCCCCTTCCCCCCACCATCATCCCCTCCCCACTTCCCTCATGCAGCCCGAGCACAAGTATTGGGGGAGGGCGGCAGTAGAACAGGGCTTCTGTGTTCCCACCATACCCCATTCCCCCTTCCCCCCACCATCATCCCCTCCCCACTTCCCTCATGCAGCCCGAGCACAAGTATTGGGGGAGGGCGGCAGTAGAACAGGGCTTCTGTGTTCCCACCATACCCCATTCCCCCTTCCCCCCACCATCATCCCCTCCCCACTTCCCTCATGCAGCCCGAGCACAAGTATTGGGGGAGGGCGGCAGTAGAACAGGGCTTCTGTGTTCCCACCATACCCCATTCCCCCTTCCCCCCACCATCATCCCCTCCCCACTTCCCTCATGCAGCCCGAGCACAAGTATTGGGGGAGGGCGGCAGTAGAACAGGGCTTCTGTGTTCCCACCATACCCCATTCCCCCTTCCCCCCACCATCATCCCCTCCCCACTTCCCTCATGCAGCCCGAGCACAAGTATTGGGGGAGGGCGGCAGTAGAACAGGGCTTCTGTGTTCCCACCATACCCCATTCCCCCTTCCCCCCACCATCATCCCCTCCCCACTTCCCTCATGCAGCCCGAGCACAAGTATTGGGGGAGGGCGGCAGTAGAACAGGGCTTCTGTGTTCCCACCATACCCCATTCCCCCTTCCCCCCACCATCATCCCCTCCCCACTTCCCTCATGCAGCCCGAGCACAAGTATTGGGGGAGGGCGGCAGTAGAACAGGGCTTCTGTGTTCCCACCATACCCCATTCCCCCTTCCCCCCACCATCATCCCCTCCCCACTTCCCTCATGCAGCCCGAGCACAAGTATTGGGGGAGGGCGGCAGTAGAACAGGGCTTCTGTGTTCCCACCATACCCCATTCCCCCTTCCCCCCACCATCATTCCCTCCCCACTTCCCTCATGCAGCCCGAGCACAAGTATTGGGGGAGGGCGGCAGTAGAACAGGGCTTCTGTGTTCCCACCATACCCCATTCCCCCTTCCCCCCACCATCATCCCCTCCCCACTTCCCTCATGCAGCCCGAGCACAAGTATCGGGTGACAGCAGCAGTGGCAGGGGGCTTTGGCCTCACCACTACCCCCCTTTCCCCCTCCCGCCACCATCTGCTCCCCTTTTCCATCCCCCTCTTCCCCCTCCCGCCACCATCTGCTCCCCCTTTCCATCCCCCCCTTCCTTCGCCCAGCCCGAGCACAAGTACCGGGCGACAGCAGCCTAAGTTGGAAAAAACGCGATTCGCGTTTAGTACGCTTTCGTATAAACGCTAGCGTCTAAACGCAAAACGCTGGCCGGGAGGGGTCTGGTACGCACAAGAATCCGCTTGCCCGGGCAGGAAAAACATTTCCCCCGGGCAGGTTAGATGCCAGGCCAAGAGATGGAAACTGGAGCTGCTGTAGTAGTCCACTACCTAATTGCTGCTTTAGTAGGTCATCGCCGCAAGTGAAATAAGAAGGGGAGGAAGAAATCAAAGAGAGATTATCGACGGAAAAAGCGGCCTGACATTGAGTGGGGAGGATGAGTTTGGTAGAAGTTGGCAACAAATTGGATGGGGTGGAGTGGGTTGTTGAGCGGTGGATAGGAGGGGATGATCCACCAAACAATCTCGAAATTCAGATCTGAAGTCACATTTGCAATTCGCGAACTCAGGTCAGAATTTCGAGACTCAAATTTGAGCTCGCCAGATCGCGGACTCTAACAGATTATTTTTTCCGGTCAGCCCGAGAGAAATTTGGCGAATTTTAGGAAAATCCGCAGCGTACGAATTTTAGATGCGTATAAACTCAATACGCAATCTCAAAGTAGCGTTTTTTCCAACTTAGACAGCAGCAGTGGCGGGAAGCTTTTTGTGCGAATTTTCAAAAGTCGCGTTAATATAGCCTGAGCACAAGTACCGGGTGGCAGCAGCAGTGGCAGGGAGCTTCTACCTCACCACTACTCCTTCCTTTCCCCTTCACCCACTCAACCCCTTTCCAATTCCCTCGGTTCTCTCATGCAGCCAGAGCACAAGTACCAGGTGAGAGCAGCAGTGGAAGGGGAATCTCGCATCACCACTCTCCCCTTCGCCTCCCCACCCCACCTCACCCGCCATCATCCCCTCCCCTTCCCCCCCTCAGTTCACGCAGCCTCAGCACAACTATCGGGTGAGAGCAGCAATGGAGGGCGGATTTTTGTTCTGCAGCGATCTGGCTCCCACCAATGGCGTGGGCGGCACTTCTCCCACGTGAGAGAAGAAGAGGGAAGGAAGGGGGTGATAGGGGGGGGGCGTGGGGGCTAGTGTAGGGTGCAAGGGCAGCAATGGAAGGCGGATTTTTGTTCTGCAGCTATCTGGCTCCCA